ATCACATTTCATAATAGTTTTAGGAACGCTTATTCAAGAAAAATCATTATTCTTATATTGTAAAATACCGTAACCAGTATATCTTATTATTTTATAATTCGATTTTTGTCAGAGTATTTCCTTCTCGGTGTATTTTTTTTTTTTTTTTTCATTTTTCGGGGTTTTTTTTTATTCGAAATAAAGGGGAAATTTGACAACGTTCATCGTAATAATAAAACGTTTCTAGTATAGACTAGTGTCATTTGTAATGTATTTAAACACACTTAAACCAAAAAGGATGACGATACCAAGTGGACAACAAAACCCATAGGGCGAATAAGAACAGATCGCACCCTGACCAAAGAAAGAGACACAAAGGAAAGCAATACTTAACCGAACGCAATTTGAAGACACCGAATGTAACACGAACTCCATAAACACAGCTGAAATCGTATACATTGGAAGGGTAGTCAATTCACGATCTCTTTTGTAAAATATCAATTCGAATTGATATCAAGCTGTACGATTACTTGCATTGTGAGTTTGTCCTAAAAGATACTTGTAAAAAAAGTAGTAAATTAAAGTTTTAAAAGCCAACCTCTGCATGTATACTTTGACAAATCTCTTCTAAATGTCATAAAATTTTGACGTCAGTTTCACTCAATTTTCAACTTTTAACACCAGTCGAAAAAATACATACAGAAAACTAAAGATAGAAAAATCGGGGACATTATCAGATGTTTTGAAAGGATCAACGAATAGTCGAGACTGTTTCGTTAAAGAACATGTGCCGTTGTTAAACATACCAGAAGTGAACAGATTTTTTTATTCAAATTGAAATCTAATAATTCTACATACTTTTCTTAAAGGGTGTTTTCAAATTGAGGACGATCATATCCGCTCATTTCCTGCAGTGGCATCAATTGGATATTGTCAACAAAAATGTTATTCTGAAAACATGGGAAGTTATTTTGGTTACAGACAGCGTATTCGGGATGTAAGTATAACTCTTAAGAACATTCTTTTTTGAGATTTAAGTAATTTCGTTTTTTATAAAGTGTGACTATGTAACATTCAAAATTAATTTGACTAGACATATGCATTAACACTTTCAACAATTTCCCTGCTGCATATGTGAAAGATCAAGAGTAAGCTTATTTAAAAGTCTCTACAGTCAAATTAAAATAGATTGTACTTATTTCTTTTACAGACGAAAACACACAATTGTGTCTGCCTTCCTAATAGAATCGATGCAATACAAGAACAAGACATACAGTATTGTCTCAATTCAGCACATTTCTTTGTTTATAGAGGTAATTTGCTTTGATTAGGCTAATAATCATGTATGGTTTTTATGGACACAAGCAGGATCTTCGCACTCTTCCAGAGCACCTTATATCATCCCCGGTGTTTTGATGGGGTTTTTGTTGCTCCATCTTTAGTTTTCTATGTTGTGTCATGTAAACTGTTGGTTTTTCTTTTCGTCGTTTTAGTTTTCTGCCATGGCATTGTCATTTTGATTTTGACTTATAAGGTTAATTATCCATTTGGTTTCTTTTTCCGCTCTCCTACCGTGCAAATTAATCATTTACGACATAACACCATGTTTCTTTTTTTTTATTTTATTAATAACATCCTCGTCCTTTGGTTTCTGGTGGATAATTCGCTAACTTGCAATTATAGCACATATATTTTCTATATTGAGATGCCAGTTTGAATTTTTCTGAACTCAACTTATAAGGTCAGAAAGTGACATTTTTGTTTTGTGGTGTTTTTTAACCTTTTACAAATGTTATATGTTGAAAGTGTAAAAATCGAGAAATAACATACATTTTCTAACAGGTTCACTACAGCTAAAGACAAACATAACCGTGATAATGTAAAAGAAATCTGTCTTATACCGACGTTACCTAATCATGCTATTAGAAGTTTATTAAAGGAGGAAAAACTTTGAATGTGCTGCATTTTTGTATTACTTTTATGGTCCACTTTGTCGTACATTTCAATGAATATTATTCTTACGCGTTTTTTAAACATGACAAAGTTAATATGTTGTTATAAAAATGAAATCCAAACCTTTCAACGTGATGCAAAAAATTCTTCATTTCTACTTTGATGGAAAATGATGGAACAGCACATAAATTCTAGGTTTAATTGTATTGTATAAATGTTGTAAATAGATGTGCAGTGCACGTTTCCTAGGTCAAAGGTAAACAGGATAGAGAATTTAGTTAGATATAGTAAATAGCATCAAATGAGATCACAGATTAAAATGTCATCACTTAGTTAAAACATTGAGGCACTGCAGCGTCTAACCAATGTTTGAAACCATAGGTGAACATTTGACTTGGTCATTTAAGCTGTTCCTTCTCATAACTGTGCTCAAGAGGTTTTTGACCTGAGGGTATTCCATTGTTATTGAAACCGCTATATCGTTTTGATTGAAACAAACACTAGGGTTTTTTCAGTGAATGCTACACGGCACTGGCAAATATACCACATCACCTTAGTTTATACTGTCATTTCTCATCAATGGAGGCACATAAAAACGCAATATCTAGATAAGATGATATTTGACTGCTGTAAACCTGGAAGTTGAAAATAAAAAATAATGTATTGGGTTTGCCATAGAGCCTTGTTGCAAATTGTCCTTCAGTATCAATTTCCAGATATAGGAGTACATATGACTTTCTTGTCTCTATCAACCTTATAACGAATCTAACTTTCTAAATTAAGGAATATTTTCCTCGCGGGTGATTTTTCTTATATTTACACATTTGAAAGGGTAGAGGCCAATGCATCATCTGCTAAAGTCACCGTTGCATTTTATTGAATATGACAAATTTTTGTTAACCATAACAAAATTACAAATGCTAGTAGTCACATATTTTTATCATTTTTTCGCAAATTCGCAAATGTTCTCATCAGGAATACCCATAACTGTTAAAATGATTGTGTAGTAGAAACATATTTTTTAAAGTGAATCTGAAATATCATTGTAATTTTTGTAGCCTGCATGTTAATAAACGGCTTAAAACTAATGAACAAATAGCAAACTGTTTTAATTCCTTCAAACATTTCTGAAACCATTATAGGCTATCTTGAATTTGATCGTTTTAAATTTACCAAATTTTCAAACAATGTGTCTAACAGACATTAGAACATTTTTCTTTTGGGATTTTCTACAAAACTTTTTACAGTCTCTTTTGCATTGTTTTTGTGTGTTTAAGTGAAAATTGTATGGTCCCAACAATGACTGTGGTTAAGTTTATAAGGAAATTCAGTACCTCCCCGAGACTACTAAATGCCCATCTCATTGGTCGAGCATACGCTAAAAAGTGAAATAGCAAAACTCCAAGGAAAATTCAAAACGGAATGTTCCTTTTCAAATGGAAAAACCAAAAGCAGAAGCACATCAAACGAATGGAAAACATCTGTCATATTCCTGACTCTTTGTAGGCATTTTCTTATGTAGAAATATGTAGATTAAACCTGGTGTTATAGCTAGTTAAACCTCTATATTGTATGACAGTCGCATACAATTCCATTATATAGACAACAATGTATGAACAAAACAAAAAGACATAAAAGGTCAAAATGTCAAAAATTAGAGGAACATTGTGTTTTAATCTTAATTACTATAAAAACAAACAAATATGTCAAGAAAGAAAAACAAAATGGCATATAATTACTCTATAGAAAAAGCACATACGTAAAAAAGAAAGACAAGAATACAGAAATTGACCATAGCACAATAACACAATGGCAGGATGTATAAATGCCGAGCCACGCAAAAAGGATATTACTTGACTAGAAAAAATGGACTAAACAGTATACATAAAGATTAACAATATACACCATTTTTGTGTACAAAGACAAATAAAAAGAACAATTTAACATGCAATTAAAATGATAAATAACGGCAGTACTTACAATCTATACCACAATACCATCATGTATAAGTTGATACGGAATATTTTGGTATCTTCATATGAACTTTTTTATAAAGAGAACGAGACTGTCATACAAGTGAGAGGTTTAGCTAGCTGTAAAAGCAGGTTTAATCCACCATTTTCAACATTTCTAAGGCAATACCTGTACCAAGTTAGGAATATGACGGTTGTTTCCCATTCGTTTAATGTGTTTGAACTTTTGATTTTGCCATTTGATAAGGGACTTTCCGATTTTCCTTGGAGTTCGGTATTTTTGTTATTCACACTTTTTTGACATAACCCTGGTTCGTCAACTTTCTACTCAGACACTGGTGACGTTTTATATAGTCAGAGTAGCAGCTGCAAGCTCTTGCATACCAAATGAGTTGCGAAATGTATATCCCATATACAGGTGAAGTTGGTATATTGCTTGTAAGGTGGAGGAAATTGATAATTTCAAAATAAAATCGTCTCGTTTGTCATACATTCTGGTACTGAGATGAACGCTTATTGTCAAATTCGAGGTATAAGTCTACAAATGAGGCAGAGGATAACCGTGCTTTTGATTCTTTAATTTCTAGTACTGGAGGATATATTAATGGAACCCAATCAGAAACGTTTGGATTGTTAATGGAAAGAATATCATCAATATATCTGAATGTGAGTTTAAATTATTTGTATTCTTTAATCTTCTGTCAGTGTCTGAAGGATCTCTGACTCATATGAAAATAAGAAGAGGTCGACAAGGAGAGGCACACAGTTCAGTTGAATTGAATGTTATGACAGTCTGTCAATATCTAAGTACTATGTGTATGCCAATATAGGTCATTTGTTAGCATTAGGTTGTACTAGGATAGATGTTCAGATTCTTTCTTCTAGAATATTGCCGTGTGTATTCTCTGCTTTTGATATAAAATTATTTATTCTATAGTTCATATTGTCGTGTTTCGTTTTCTTTGTCGATATTCTCATGAATTCAGTTTTTTTTTTTATTTCAATTTTGTATATTTGAAGTGTGTAATTACAAAAAGCAGGGTTTAGAATTTAAAAAAAAATGAAATTATATTTTTTGGTTACTTTAAGATTACAATGGTTCAGTCCGTCAATCATCAGACCCTGGAAACTGCACAACAATTTGTTGCGGTAGTTGTAATGGGGTAAACGGTAATCACTTGGAAGGAAGATGTTGCAGTTCAGTAGACACTCATATAGTTGGTAGATGTGGTAATACTTAAATTAATTAAATAACCAATGTAAAATCTTCTTTGTTCAGTTTGAAATATTGGTGTATTCCTGTACATATTATTCTTACGACATTTGAAATAGAACATTTTTTGTCGAGGTTATTTTAATTCAGCTTTCATACGTAAACTCACAATAGACCAACAGGATATTTTTGTGAGCGTTTACAAAACTTTTTTATTTCTACCATACTAACGCATTGGACAAGCGAACGTATGTATACTGCAATTTAAAGCAGGAAACCCACCCGGTCTTGTTCCTTAAGAATTTCATGCGAATCCAATAGTTTCTGTTTGTTACCTTAATATGTAAATTCCTAATGCTTTTTTGAGCTTTTACATCGATAAACTACTGTTGCCTCTATTTACACTTATTTGAATTGTTTTTAGATATAAGAAACATCAAGAGTGCAATTGAAAGAAAAGTAGATTCCATTTCGAACCTACTTTTTTGCGTTTTCGTTGCTTGTAAGAAACTTCTTAGACCTGAAGTTCATTAAAACACGTTTTTTTGCAACATAATTGTAACTTAAGGAATGACTGTAATATGATTTCTGTCTATGAAGAAATAACATCAAAAATGTTGTGCTCACTGAATAACCCACGTATTTTTGAGGTATTTAAAAAAAGACAGAAAAAATATTAGTCATTCCTTATAATCTAACTCTAAATAACATTTTTAAGGAGTAAACTACGAAAAAACGTTTATGACGTCACGGCTATATGAGAATATTATGTCTATGAGCTGATAGACAAATTACTTTCAGCCACTCAGAAGACGTGTTACATCCAAAAATTAAATTATTTCCCTATGAATGAAAAAAGTGTAGCATCTTTCCTGTAAACGTCTGATGATCAATATATAATTTTAAAAGAATAGGCGGAAGCTACCAAAAAGATATTTAAAACCATGAAAACTGAAAGATCGGAAAGTGAACAACAGAATCATGGTAAACAAAAAAACGACGAAGAGATATATAACAAATACAAGACACTACATAGAAAAATTAACAACAGAATAAACAAATTGAAAACAACACGTTTAATAATTTCATGCGTCCGAAGCGCTTTTCTGGATTTACCTTCATCAGGAACGCTCAAAGGCAAACATTTGAAATCCGAGGGATGTATAAGTACCGAATTAACAGTTGAAGAGCTATATGACAAAAATACAAAATACAAATAGCCAAATCGATCTAAGGTCAACTTTGCCTGAGGGAGTTGAAACCTTAGTTACTTTATAATTTCAAAATTTATAAACGGGCAATTTTAGAATTGTTTATTACACGAGGATTGTGCCCAATTACGATATTTACGGCGTTAATGGTTTAAACCTCTAAACCTCTAAAAACCAGTTCCTCATTGACAAAACAGAGGTTGTGATTACTAGGAACAAGCTAAAAACAAAACGAAGGGCCTAGATCCCTTTAAATTACATTGCTTTTAGATCAGTTTGTATTTAGATCATGGCATTTCTAGGGACGTGCAAAGATTTAACACCCTTCTCATTTTCCACTTCCAAAAAAATATGTATTTGTTGTGTGTGCATTTTGTTTTCATTGGTATCAAAATCTTTTTTTTACGACCCTTGTATTAACCGAGGAATCAGTTTTTTGTTCATGTAGAATATTTGAAATAGCAATATCTATAATAATTGCAACAATGCGGCACGTAGAGGGATTGAGTGGTAATAATAACGGGAATTTCATGGTTCTCTTCACATAGTTAATTTGGGTACAATAAAGGTATGGTATGGAAAGAAATACGAATGTGCTTGTTCCACAAACATTTTAGAAATGTAAAATAACAGACAAGCAAAGGACACTTTGAACTTCAATTAGTCTGTTTTTGCGACGGTCGTGACTTTTCTTACGGAGCGGCAGTTCGTTTATGTATGCTGCGAAAAAAACCTAATCGTTAAAGCAGTAAAAAAATGTCAAAACCAATGGCATGAAGCTTAAACGAATTCAAAATTTGCCATGGACTTTTTGTGTGTGTACGTTCCTTTTTGTTGCTTGTAACCTTCCGGATGTTACAGTAAGATATTTTACAACATTGTAACAACGTGGAATTTTTACCGTCTAAATCTAAAAGTATTAAATCCTTTGAATATGTAAAATACGGGGATTGTGATTTTGTCAACATTTCATACCGAATGTGTGTACACAAAACAAGAAGGAAGATCTACCATGGGAGCAGATACTACTAGATTGTAGCTGGAATAACTTCACTTTTTTTTAACTCAAGATAAACATTTTTTTAGAGCTAAATAATGAAAGTTTTGAGGTGATAACAAATCTAAATAGAACCCCAGTAAGTTAATATCTAAAGTAATAATATTTTATTTTATTATATTCATAAAATTTGATTTAAGTGTAAGAGTATATTTGAACATTGTCATTGTCATATAAGATTGATACATTTGATAACGAGAAACGTATACATAAATGATATGAACTAGTTATTTAATATTTTATAGAGTTTGTTATTGTGTTGTGCCGTTGCACCACTGTCCCTGGTTAGGACGAGGGTAGGAGCCTTCTACCATGTTTAACACTGCCACCCTCTTTATGTCCCTGTCCGATGTCAGGAGCCTATATTTTAGTGATATCGTTTGTTCCTGTGTTTCATATTTTATGTGTTTATTGTTTCGCAAACAAGTCAGGCCGTTAATTTTCTCGTTCCATTTGATTTACATTTGTAATTTGGGGGTTATATAGCTACCTATGCTGTATGGGGTTTGTTCATCTTTGAAGGCAGTACGGTGACCTATAGTTCTTTAACTTCTATGTCATTTTGTCTCTGGTTGAGAGTTGTCGCATCGGCAATCATACAACATCTTGATTTTTTTATAGCACCAATATCTAATTGATATGAATCGATTAGCTAATATTATTAATATTTTTGGTACTCTACTGTATAATACTAGCAATACAAACACATTTATAAGCATATTGTATACTCATCTACTCAGAGCAATTTTATAAAACGTTTTGATTGAGGAACGTACTATTTGTATTACTAGGAACTCAACAAAACTCAGGTTTTAAATGGGATTTAGATTATTATGGAAGCTTGAATTATTGTATGCAGAAAAAAAACAGTTTACTACCATCCTCCAATTATTGTCAAATAATAGATGGCAACGATGTTTATCACGGACAAATTTCCTGGACAAACGTGTTCCGTGAGGAGGTTGAAATTATTAGAACACAAGGTAAATGTGTACATTTCACCCTACTTGAACTGTCTGCTATCTCACGACAAACTTATTGTTTGATACTTCTTTCTGCACACAATGTGGTGAAGTAACACATATCATTCTCTCTCTTTGGTTCGGTCCAGCTGTTTTCTGTTATCACCAGTACCTTCAAAACACTCAACGTCGTTACCTAGATCTTAGATGGTTTTGTCGACGTATTGTGAATATTATTCTTACATATTTTGTAAATCATTTTAAATACTTTTTTTAATTTTCTGAACTAGAAAATGTTAAATCGTATGATAATGAGACTAAGGAAAGAAGGGCGAAGGATACCAAAGGGACTTATAAACTCAAGTCGAAAATAAACGGACAACGCTTTGGCAAAAAGACAAACAAACAAACAACAGTACACGAAACATAACATAGAAAACAAAAGACTGGGCAACACGAACCTCACCAAAGGTAATGAAAGGAAATGAATTATCTTTTCTCATTTATAAAATCATTTGAAAGAAGGATAGGGTAAATCCTTAGCTGCTGATTAACTTTATTATTTAGGAATCAACCTTCTCTTTTTCCATATGTCGATATATGCGATACAAAGTTTGCATTGAAAAACGTAAAGTGAAAAACATTGAAGACCACAAAGTAAAGTCTTGAAATGTATGTACTGAAAAACGTTGTCGCACGTAATATTAAGCTCCAATTCAAGCTGTCATCTTAGGACGTCCGATAAAACGAAATCAGATAAATTTGCTTGTCTTGTTGCCTTGAGTTGATTTTTTTTCTGCCAAAAAAGGATATTTTGATAATTCAGTCATGGTTGACAGAATAAACATATTGATATACCCGTGCAGCATAAAAATATTAAATATTTAAGGAATTTCAACTATTGGAAATGACTTGTGTTAGGGAGAGCATTACTTTCAATGCCTATGATGGTAATAAATCATGAAAATATTTATTCAGCGTTATAGATAATGATTTTTAATTTAATAAATAGAAATAAATTCTGAAAATATGTCCTCCAAATCACACTGTAAATTGTTATATCTGAAACATATTGCAACAACTAAAATTTTATACATCTTGTTACGTTTCAAAATGAAAAGGGTATCGTAATTTAACTTCTGTTTACGAAGCAAATGCTAAATATTGCCAATAGCGGTCAGGATGAAACGTTATGGATATTATCTTTAATTATTATGTTATGGGTAAAAAGAAATGTTTGAACTATAATCAATAATACAAAACAACTTTAACCTCGCTTGAAACATATATACATTATTTTAGACGTCAGTCAAGATCCAGACCGATGTATTTTTGGAGTATTTACCCTCGTGCAAGGACAAACAACATTAAACATGACAGAACACAAGTGCAACGAAAATAAAAATTGGTATATATGCAAAACAAGTAAGTATGTGTAATTGATTAAATGCTTTATTTTGTTTGTCTAAAGGATACACAGATGTTGCTGGTTATTAGAGTTCTTTATAGTTTAATAGAAAGGTCAAACGAACTGAAAAAAACGAATCTTCCTTTAGCTAGCACAACGAATTATTCTTTTGGAAAATTCAACTGCTAATGTTAGGAATGTTGTATATTTGTCATTTGCTGATATTTCAAAACAAAAACGATCCTAAAAATTAATAATTAATGAGAAACTGACATAAAAAATTAGCCATATTTTGAGACAATTTGTGTCATATTTATATCTTTCTATTTGTGGCAGCACTTTTAGTTAGCAGCCAAATGGCTTTATTTTTGCTCACAAGTGACAAGGTCCAAAACCGTTTCCCAGATGTTTAATATCCTGACATATCAACGAAGAATGATAAGATCTATCTGTATTCACATGACCATAACAATGGCAGAAATTCAAAGATAATTTTTCTTATAACTAAATCTGTTAGTAGCAGTTTTTGTAATCATTATAATGAAACAAACACATGTATATGATCGTTTAAGAAGACGACGCTAATTCAAAAATAAGAATGGTGTAATTTGATATCAATTTTCTTCCAGTTGTAGTGAAGTACAAACATACAATCAATGTATGGTGACTACCTCTACTTAATAATGTTCTTCATTAATTTGAATATTTTTTACAAAATCCATCCCGATTTTTCCTACATACGACTGTTGATATACCTTAACTCCAACCTAAATTAAAAAATTACACAAATACAAAACATTGCATACCTCAATTTTACAAATACCGCATAAACTATTAAAAAGTTAAATCACACATAAATACTGAACTCCGAGGAAAATTCAAAACGGAAAGTCCCTAATCAAATGGCAAAATCAAAAGCACAAACACATCAAATGAATGGACAACAACTGTCATATTCCTGACTTGGTACAGGCATTTTCCTATGTAGAAAATGGTAGATTGAATCTGGTTTTAAAGCGCTAAACCTCTCACTTGTATGACAGTCGCATCAAATTCCATTATATTGACAACGATGCGTGAATAAAACAAACAGACATAGTAGGTAAAAATGTCAATATAGGGGTACAGCAGTCAACACCGTGTCACAATCTTAATCACAACAAAAACAAACAAATATTTAACAAAGAAGCACAAAAAAGCATATATAACATTTAACAATCTCATTCATTGCTTACTTATTTTTGTGTTTCATTTATGTATGCCAAATCAACCCATAAAGGATCGAGGGATTTTAAGCATTGGGCCGAATCGTAATTTTAACATTAACTCTGGCGTAGAATCGCGTGTTTGACATCAGAATGTAAACGTCACACAGGTAGAGGTATAAAATAATTTTGTCGTTCAAAGTATGCACAAATAAAAATAGAACAATAACACAATGGCGGGATGTTTAAAGTACAGAGACACGTCATATGTATCAAAGAAACATGAAAAGTCACACGGACAAAGCACACAAGTAAAAATGAAAAATAATACAGACAACACAATGACGGGATGCATAAGTATAGAGCCACGTCAAATGTTTATCACCAAAAAAACAGAGCAAACAGTAAAAGTAATATTAATAAAGACAAATAAAAGAACACTTTAACACGTTATTAAGATTATAAACAGCGTCAGTACGCAGAATCTATAGTTCAAGACCATCATGTATTATTTGTGAAGTTGATACGGAATATTTATCAATAAGGTCTTGGTACCTTTCGATGAACTTTTTTTAGAAAAAGAACGAGACGTTCTTTGACATACCCCTCGTTCATCAAATTTCTGCTCAGACACTGGTGACTAATTAAATAATCTGGCTTCTTTGATCTTCTTGTTTTTGACAAGTGTCTGAAGGAACTCCGATTCATATGAAAATAAGAAGATGTCGGCAAGGAGAGGCGCGCAGGTCGTTCCCGTAGGTTTTGATTTGTTGAAAATGTCTACCTCCAAATTCAACAAAAATGTTGTCGATAAGAAACTCCAGCATACTAATCACTTGTTCCTCTGTGTAGCATGTTTTACCCTTTTGTTTGCTATTAACAAAAAATGCCTTATGGTATGTTCTAACATATTTTCTCTCAGTAATTAAAACATTAGAGTTTTTTTTTTACAATAAAATATTTTCAATTTTACGCATTTTCTTAAGTAAAGAAATATCAAAAACTTTGTTCTACATAGATCTTGGAAGGACTAAAAACATTTTCAACCAAAAAGTTCTATCTAGCTTACTTTCTCATATGTTATTGGTCATATTTTTTTTTAATGCTTTTGTATATGTTTTCTCGTTTAAATACTGTAAGATTTTGTGATGCTAGTGCATTTTGAAAATTGCACTAAGGTATAGGTTTGAATTAATTTTGAAGTCCTTACGATTACCCACGGTTGAGTTCATCTACGTCTCTGTTTGATAGTTTTCCCCTTTGAATCAAGTAACATATCCTTATAAGTATAGTATCATGATGCTCGGTTTGATCTATTGATAACAAATGTGTTATTGTTGGTGGTCGTGTTTATCAATAGAAATGCAACGTTCGACACCAATGGCTCGTTTTTTATGCTATTCACGTTTATATAACAGACAAAATGCAGCATATCACTGTAGGTGTCATACATATAAGTAGTTATATTTTTTATCGAATGTCAGAGAGGTAAAGTCTAGTGCCAAAGAAAGTAAGTCTATTATGGAAGATGTAAACCCCAGTGGTTGATAACCAATTACTTCGTGCCAATAAAGAGGGACGACATTCTTACAACACTAAATATTTATCCAACTTTTGCTTATTTAAAATGACTTGTATGAAGCACAATTTTGCCTTTTAGCAAGGCATTATCGCCAATGTCATTACGCCAGTTTTGGGGTTAATGTATAGAAAGCAGATATTTGAAATAGAGAATATATCGACAACGAATATAGTAGATATATAATGAGAATCTGTTTCGTGTGAGCATATACCAAATGATCGTGTATTCAAACTTGTTCTCAAAGATTTCCCCTATATTGATATTTTCTAAAGATTTATTTGTAATGCATTTGTTCAATCGTATACATTGTCTGATTGATTATATGTTTTTGTATCTCAGAATTAAATGTTTCTTTTGTAATAAAATTAGAAGTTATATGAAGCTTTGTATTTCTTTTCCTATGCATTGCAGTGATGGTATCATGAGAAGTACGTTCAGTCTTGAAAGTTGCATTTCATCAGGAAATACATTATGAATTCAGTATGAATCGCGATTTTTGTCTGCCAATAAAAATTTCGTATTCTCATTAACATGCATGTTTATTAACTATTTTGTATTGGAATTCGGAGGGACAGTTTCTAAATATTTTTTTTCGAGGTAAACCAGTTTTGTGAATCCGCGTGTGTATATTAACTTGGTTTATTTCTGGAAAAGGGGAGGACAATCACTATTCTCCTTGATTTTCTCTCTCTGTCTTTTTTTTTAACTTTTTGTTAGTATTCAATGCACTTTCCAGTTGCTTCCAATATGTTAATTGTTTAACCCAACAGAACACATATGCAACCTCGGCAAGTGTTTACATGTTCATACAAAGTCGCAAAGTATTCCTTTGGGATGCCGATCTTTCCACACGCTACAAAAATACCTGATTCAACAGTGTTAAAACAATTTTGAACAATAGTGGTCTATCAGCCTTAATTAACAGTACAAACAACCACGATACCATTTCAACAAAATATGTAATTGATTCCGTTAAAACTAAACTTGTAGACAACTTCAAAAGCGAATGGATTATTAATGTTCAGAATATGCCAAAACTAAGAACATATAAGTTATTTAAGACCGAATTTTGTACTGAACCGTATGTTAAAAAGTTTTTGTCCAGAATCAGCGATCAGTTACAGCTAGAATTCGATGCGGTACACTACCTTTAGAAATCGAACGAGGTCGATATTGTAATATTCCAGCCGAACAGAGAATCTGCAAAGTGTGCTATTCGAACTTGATCGAAGATGAAAACCACCTTTAGGTTTTGTGTGACCGTTACTCCGCTAGAAGAAACGAAATTATGCGAGAACATACTTCTGTTAACTTTTACTCCCCAGAAGAAGCACTAAAAGAACTGTTAACGAGCAACTCGAAAACGGTGACAAACTTTGTCATAGACTGTTTAAAGATAAGACAAGATGTTATATAAACACTTTTATTTTACCAAAACTACACGACGTAAAAACTGTTAAAATTTTTTCTCATATCAAATCAAATGTATCTACATGTATAATTATGTTTTAAAATGACAGTGCATCGTAAGATTATAAGGCTTGTTGAAAATATGAAGGAGCATAACATTTGTATATTATATTATGTCAATTCAGGTTGCACTTTAATAAATTATTTATTCATTCATTGATACACAGCTCTTAGTTGAAGCAATTTTATGGGTTGATATACGAATCTTAACATTTACAAAAGTTGACGATTTGTCGAATCAGATCTTATTGAAACACACATAGAACGAAACGCGTATTTTTTTTCATCACTAGAAAACACGGATGTGTATCTATCATATCATTACCTCGTTCATGACATGTTGACAAATGCGATTACATTACAACTGTATCCTTTGGTTATCAATATGCTTTGCATAATAAAGCATTATAGATTCTTAATTTTACTATTTAAGATTGCCTTATATGAGTGTATGCGTATCTTTTCATATATTGTTTTAAATATACAACTGTGCATGACCATTATGATCGAAATTGTGCTGATTAGCGTTCTTTTAATGAAACATGTATACAGTACAACCCTTAAATGTAATAACAATAACGCTGGCAATAACATGCTCGACTCTTATATCATGAATGCCAATTTTTACGTAAAAAGATCTGTCAATCCACATTTGTGTCTATGAATTTGGTATAAGTATATATTCTTCATAGTTGATGATTTCCCTTATTTTCTAGTTTAATACTAGCATTACACTCGTTTCATTTTTCCTCTAATTTAGACAGTACCTTGTACACCATGTATACAACTGAAGCGTTCCTTGTTAATACAAAACCAGGGTTACGAAATATTCCAGCAGATAAAGAAAATATCACAACATCAACAGGTGAGTGTAAAAATATATAAAAGAGAGACGTTACTACCAGCGGGAAATTCAAACTCACAAGTCGAAAACGAACTGAAAATGTGTATATTGGTAACTATATACTACTTTCTAGGCAAAGATTTACAATACCTATTCTGACATCGGACTCGGACTTCTTTTAAACTGAGTTTTACTGTGCGTACTGTTGTACGTTTGTTTGTTCTATATTAGCTAGAGGTACAGGGGGAGGGTTGAGATCTCAAAAACATGTTTAACCCCGCCGCATTTTTGCGCCTGTCCCAAGTCAGGAGCCTCTGGCCTTTGTTAGTCTTGTATCAATTTTAATTTTAGTTTCTTGTGTATTATTTGGAGTTTAGTATGGCGTCCATTCTCACTTAACTAGTATACATATTTGTTAAGGGGCTAGCTGAAGGACGCCTCCGGGTGCGAGAGTTTCTCGCTGCATTGAAGACCCATTGGTGGCAGTGGGCTGTTGTCTGCTCTATGGTCGGGTTTTTTTCTCTTTGACACATTCCCCATTTCCCTTCTCAATTTTAATTTTATGTTAATTGAATTGCATAGGTTTACTGTCTAAAATAATCAAATCTATCAGAATGTTCAGCTTTTATTTTTTTCACACAGAAACATATGCAGTTTTCAGTAAACGGATTCAACAATGAGTCAAAACTTCCTTGGTTTTTCCTTTGATTGAAAATTGTTTTTGTTGTTGCCATCTATGGTTTAAAATTCAAAAGAAAATTGCTTAACTTCACCTGTTTTCAGGATAATTAAAGATGCATAAGTTTGCACTTGTTAAGTGATAAGTTAATTTGTTTTATAATTGTACAAGATATTTGCAGACATTTGCATATAAGTGTTCGTAATATACAATGGGAAATCAATTATCTGTTTATGGAGACCCTTCCTTTAGTATTGCGTAAAAAGGTTGCTGTATCATTGACATATTTGTTATATTTAGATGTATTCATGTCAATAATTGAAAATCAACTTTGATGTGGTATGTTTTAATTTCTATGTAACATGTAAATTATTCTTTTTATTTTCTTTTAAATATATGCTACATTCATTCAGGTGCAGTGATTGGCGGAATTCTAGGTGCGTGTTTTATACTTACTGTATCAACAGTATTGATTGTATGTAAAATAAGGTGAGTAACATTTTTGTGCAACTACTAAAAACATTTTGACTTACAAAGGATAGTTTATACATTGTGGGAAAGTGCTTTTTGAAACCGAATAGTCTTGTTAATAATATCGCATTATTTCATGTTTTTTGCAATTTCATTTTCGAATGAAATGTTAAATCTGTATATTCTAAACAAAAAATAGTAAATAATTCTCAGTATATTCATTTCAGTGGTTATACAGACATGAAGTATTAATACATAAGACGATGAAACCAAAAAGCATAATCATTTAGGGCAAGAATACAAATGGATTATATAGATCATAAACCTTGACTAAAAAGATCTATATTTACATAGGAAGTGTGTTTAACAAATACACATTGGAAAAAAATGCTATTAGTAAAATAAACTTATTTCTAACTCACCAAAAATACAGGGATTAAAATTGTGTACGCCAGACGTATGTTTCGTCTGCTTAAGGCTCATCGTTAACGTGCGAATTAAAAAAGTGCAAAATAAAATAGAGAATGGAAATGGGGAATTTGTCAAAGAAACAACAACCCGACCAAAGAGTAAAAAACACAGCCGAAGGCCACCAATGGGTCTTTAACACAGCGAGAAAATTCCGCACCCGGGGGTGGACTTCAGCTAGCTCCTTAGCTAAAATGTTTACTAGTTCCGTGAAAATGAACGTCACACTAAACTCCTAAACATATAAATGAACTAACATTAAAAAACATACAAAACTAACAAAGGCCAGAGGCCCCTGACTCGGGACAGGCGCAACAATGCGGCGGGGTTAAACATGTTTAGTGAGATCTCAACCCTTCCCCTATATCTTTAGCCAATGTAGATTAAACAAACACACAACAAAACGTACAGTAAAACTCAGTTTAAAAGAAGTCCGAGTCCTATGTCAGAATAAGTAACAATAGAAACTAATCAAAATGATGCATAAATTTACAAAAGACTACTAGCAGTTACTGACCATTTAAGTGCGAGGTTTGAGCGCATTGTGTTGTTTTGCAATTTGCTAAAAAAATACTAATTAATTATTTTTTTCTTATTTTTCATATATCGTAATGTGATCAATTGTAGATGTTATTTTATGCAATAATATTTGTTTTGTTTTTAGATCAAAGGGAATCTTTAACGAATCTGATAAACATGAGAATAGAGAAACTAGTCAATTGCACTTTTCAAAGACAAGCAACAGAGATTTAACGAATACAACTAAAGGAACGAGTACCGCATTAGCATCAACGAAGACTAATGACTCTTGTGAAATGCGCACATTAGTATATTCCGCTGTACATAACATAAATAAACCGGAAAATATGAACGAGACATATACTGATGCAGCCAATGGAGAATATGAATTTTTACATGATAAACATAATCGAAGAATTTGTCCACCAGATAATGTGTACCATATTCAAGGCGAATATCGAAATGAAGATGACCTTACATACGATAGCGCATCCTTTCGGAAAGGAAATTGCAATGATGGAAACGAATTATATGACACGTCTTTTTCGGTGGTTGAAGGAGATTATTCATTCGTGTCATATAAAAAACATGACCCCGGCATGACCACTGATATATACGACAAATCAACTTAGCCATGTGAAATGGTAATAATATTTATCACCTGTCAACAAAAATGTCTGCATAAAAAGATATTATAGATCGACAATCCTCTTTTTTTTCTATCCCTGACAATCATTATTTCCTACCCTAGGAATAGATCACCATAGCTGTATTTGGCAAAACCTTCAAGATTTCTGGTTCCTCAATGCTCTTCAACTTCGTTCTTTATTTGGCCTTTAACTATTAAATGCGAACGTTAAATGCGAACGTCACTCGTCAGTCGTTTGTAGAAGAAACGCGCGTGCGGCGTACACAATTGTAATCCTGGTATAAATGATGAGTTTATTTGTTTCAGGATTTCAGTTGAAAAAAAAACGTATTTGAAATTGTATTGTGATATACGCATGATTTAAAGATTGATGAAAATCTATAGAAGATACCAATGTTTGTGCCTACGTCGGGGGAAATTAAAAGAAAGAAAAAAAATCATATTCTTTCAAAAGTTTACATCTTTCACGTAAAATAAGGATCATGTACTAAGGGATTGGTGGCAAATTGTTTGCAAAAATATTGCCAACATGGTCCATGGAATAAAAAGGGGCGACGAATAAAAATAACACTTTTCACACGACCAGAAAGCAAAATACTAAGATATCTAACTTGCAACAGGATTGGAATGTTACGCAACAGTAATGACACGGACTAAACTTTTCAACATTTTTGAAGTTTGGGAGATTTGGCGGTTCTGAATTTCCGGCTCCGTGTGCGAGATTTTTTTCGCTGTATTGAAGACCCATTAGTGGCCTTCGGTTGTTTTTTGCTCTTTGGTCGGGTTAATGTCTCTTTGATACATTCCACTTTTCCATTCTCAATTTTACGGTTGATGTATGTAAGAAATTTAATATACTTTGACAGCCGGTAAGATTGAAAAAAATGTCACATGAAATCGTAATTCTTCAAGTTCACTCTATTTGTATTTTTTTTTTAATAGATTTGATTTTAATATCAAATGAAAGCTGATACATAAGTGTTTCATTTCATAGCACATATTTGCTGATATCCTCATTCAGGAAATGATTAATGTTCCCGTGTTTGATAATGAAAAAAAAAAACGGAAAATCACGCTTTACCGCGATTTTACAAAATAAACTGCACTGTGGGAAAACTCTACCACAGGACTAAAATGATAGTTTAATGTTTTGGCGGTCCATAAAACTCTTTAACTTAAAACTCCATTACTAGTTTATTGTTGTTTAAAATCCCGTTGCAAATATATCATGCTTGTCAAAAAACGAAAACGTTAACGTTAATGTTATATGCATATAATCCCCTCTTTGGAGAAGACCAACACGCTGAACAGAATTTGTTATTGCCTATTTCACATTTACAGTCCACAGGAAAACAAGTCACCTTACTTATTTTTCAATACCCAAGCCGACCAAACTGTGTATTTACAACCACATAGCGCGTGCTTAAAAGAACAGCAGTAGACTCCAATTATCTTTTGTTAATCAGGTCGGGGGTCAAACCTGAGACCTCCCGTTCTTTTTGGGAGAACCGAGACCACCGAGGCGTATAAGCTATGAAGATGTATTTTAGGGTCAATTCATAAACGTTGTAAATGATATTACTGTAACTAAATTTGTTCTTGCAACGCATGGTCTGTATTTTTGCGTTAATAAGAAAAAAGTTAGATAGAATATTAATTGATCAAGATATTTGTAGTCATTGATTTATGAACAAAAAAAAAACGATAACGTTCTGAAGCAAAATGCGTTACCATACAAGGACAAACTTGTCTGGCTCTAAACTCGGTTATATGTTTTGTTGTTACTTTTAAATGCAACGGATTTGCGTAGAACCAGAATTTAACACTTTAAACGTCTTTGGTTTTGAAATGCATGGAATCATACCTAGCTCTTGATATTTTTTAGCATAAAAAGAAGTAATTTGTAATCTTTTTCAACTTGAGAATTATTATTTTTGTTACTTCAACATGCTATGGGTTTGCTTAGGACTAGAATTTACCACTTTACAACTTTTCGGTTTAAAACGCACTTAATCATACAGAGCTATCGATGATAATATCTGTTTGCAGGAAAAGAAGTTTTTTTTTAAGTTGGAAAATCCGGAATATACCGATAGTCCATATATAAATATTAATAGAAACGCCAAATAATATATGTGTTTGACATGCCCCTTTTTCATCTTTGATTGGTAAAACTAAAAAGAGAAGAAAGCCAATGGAATCACATCCAAAAATGCACTTTTCAAATTATTATATATATAACTAATTACTACACACAGCTTACAATGAAACAGAACGTAATGATGCATTGTTTAACCTGTTCATATTTCAACCAACTTTCAGTTCATATTTGGTATTGCCAATTCCTTATTATTCGGAAACTATACATTAAACTCTAGATGCTTTACTTGACTTATTAAAAATGTTTAGGTCATATAATCAATTTTATCTATTTCATTCAAGGATATATTTTGTGAAAATAAAAACGAAAAATGAAAATCAAGTCAAGTGTAGCTGCATGAACATACAGCAAACTTTATAGGTATGTGTTGTCGATAAACACATGCAGGCAAAATAAAAAAAATCTGCAAATTTGAGCAGCAACACTGATAGCAATCAATGTATGTCAACGAAAACATGAAATGATAACGTCTATAAAGACAAATGGTGCGACACAACAATGGCCTTTGTCAGTTTGTGATTTATTTTTTGAAAAGCAATAACGCAATCTGAAAATTCTTTGTATAATTTTATATTTCTTCCCCATTGTGGTAAGATCGGAGATAATTGGCCTATTTTTCATAAGTAATCATCATAGAAAATTCCAAAATATTAATCATAGATCTGGTTATAATGTCGTATTGACATTAGTGCATTGTTCAACATAGTTGAATTTTAACTAGTAATTTGAGAATCTTTAAGCGCTTTATAAGACCAACTTATTCATGACATGTACTTAAGAACTTGAAACGCGATAAGTTTAGTAATTTATCGTTACGGTGATAAATACGTTAACGGTACCAGTTATTGCATTTCGACAATTAATCTTCCATCAGTGATGATTGTGGCTAAAATATTTCAAGTCCAAAACCTAGAGCAAATATTGAAGAGCTAATACAACCAAAATTGCCCAAAGTTAGCTGAACCCGAAAAGGAATCAGAGCTATGTTATAATAGATAATACATATTTTAAGTTTTTTTCTTGTCGTATAACTCCCCAAGGGTTGATCAAATGGAAGACCGACCAATATGGTGCGTTTTTGAAAATTGCATTCATTGCGTTGACCAGCTATCCTACACACGTCTTTGTACGTTTACATTATTTTACACCGTACTCACACGACGCAACATCGGTTTGCGTTCACACCAATTCCTGATTAAGATAATGGCAATGAATCCTTAGTCAAAACGCTTGAGGTAGGTAGTTTAACTTCCGAAACAACTAACATTAGATTTCAGCCTAGAATAAATATACATGATGACACAAATGTGTATTATAATCTAGAGTATCAGTGCGTATGCTTCCCATTTACTATTTCTTGCACAAGAAAACCACGGGATTGCATAAATATTAGTTTCAATCGCGGAATGAGAATGTTCGCAGTTCTTTACTAAATTCAGGACACTGCAGTAAGAACTTGGCATGTAACTTTGAATCATGGTCATCATTACTTAGATATTCTGACTTTAAGCTGTTTTTTTCTTTTTCTTTTTGTTTTGAGTGACGGTCCTATTACATGTATAAACTTTGACATTTTCGAAATACTAAGGATTTTCTACCCCACGAATAGGTTACCTTAGATGTATTTGGCAAAACCTTTGTTTCGAAAATGTGGGTCCTCAATACTCTTCAACTTTGTACTTAATTTGGCCTTGTTCATGTTTTTAACTTTTTTTATTCGATCGTCACTGATGAGTTTTTTGTAGACGAAACACTTGTCTGGCTTACATCATTTTAATCCTAGTATTCATTATATCTCTACATATCTTTTTATTTAAATTGGTACTTTTGAGAGCATGTTCAGGTATTCATAAAACTTCTGAAAACAAGATATTCTTCAAAACTAGGTTTTTCCTGTAGAATATTTGGATTGATTTAAATGACTTCAAGAAATCCTTGAAATTTGAGATGTTTTATGTGACCAAAATGATTGTCATTATATAAGAGGTCCCAATGAAGCTGGTGTGTTATTCTCAAATTAAAAAACCTTCTTATAAGTTGCATGACACAGAGTTCCATTTCACATGGAAATGTGAATTTGAATTTCTTTTTCTGTACCATATCTACCACGAGTACAGACAGCTTCAATAATGAGTGTGAGATAATTAAGGCATCCAGGAAACAAAATATGAAGATTCAAAAGATAGAAGATATGCATCCAGATTATAAAGCAAACTGAGTACTTAAATTTTTATTGCGATTGGTCTGTGCAATTTGTTTAGACATCCGGTTTGCAGAAACTAGGTATTACAATAGGATTATGACTTTGTATATTAAAGACGAAGAAAAGGTGATGTACTTTTCCAGGTAATATATAAAAAAGGCAAGCCTTAAAAGGTAAATTCAAAATGTAGCTATATACACTTTTTTTTTACAACTAAAATCCAACATTGCTTTTAATTGCGATGTGCAAGAATCACACACAGTTACATATTTTCAATTAAGGTTTTTTAATATCGACATTACCTTATTCTAAGGTTGATATCGGGTGATGAGTTTAAGTAAAAAAACAAACTCGTTAAATATGTTAAAACTGGATTAAGCCTGTACCAAATGAGCCTATATTAACCCTGGGTTGTTCATTGCTGTTTGTCTATGTTCGTACATTCATGTTTTTGGAGGAGTCGACTGTTTGTGGTTAGTGTGGTCTGTTACGTCCAATATTTCAGGATCTTTTAAATGTATTTTTGAAGTTAAATGGTATGTCAACAAAGAAGAGAGGAGGGCGAGATTGTGTCTACAATGAAGAAATCATATCCGTTGTAGAAAATATATGTTTTTTTGTTTAATTAAAAAATCATCTTTTGTGTTAAATTTATATTTAAAT